TTCTATAGGGTTCAGGTCAGGGAACTGGAATGGCCATAGCAAAAGATTGGTTTTGTGACAAGTGACCCATTTTTGTGTTGTTTTTAAGGTTTGTTTTTGGATTATTGTACGGTTGGAAGATCCAAACATGGTTTTCTAACATTTCTTTAAGATTTCTTACAGTCAGTCACTTTTTGATTTTTTATCTGTGTATTTGAGAAAAACATTTATTTCATAATGAGATTTTCCCCCATTTTCAGTTGTTTTAATTCAATGAAAGGTTAGATATTTGTGAATTGTTTTTTAATAAAAGATCAAAATGATTAACAATGCAGATTTATTTTCACAGCCTTCTTTGATCATATTTACCAAGAGTGCCAATAATTCTGACCACGACTGTATACGACTTATCCCGGGAAAGTCTGATGCCTATTATTAGACAGAATTTCCTCCAAAAACAGCTCAGGAAATGTGAGTAAAAAAGTGTGCAGATTCCATGTGGGCCTAGTGATAACCTCCACATCCATCCTTCCTTAATGGACGTGACCTCGTGGTCACCTTGGTTACGCCGTTTCTCTAGAAGGCGAATTTCGTTGAAGTGTTGTATTAAAGTAATGATTGCCTCCTGCCGAGAAAAGGCCTTTATGATCTATTAATATTCAAGCGCTTACAGGTGGTTTGGCTGTAAAGCAAATACATAAACATTCTCCTTCGTTACACTTGAATGTGGATCAAATGAACTGTGGGCACCTTTTTCCTCCTCCCACCTACTTTTTTCCCCTCCCACCTACTTTTTTCCCCTCCCTTCCTCAAAGCTCTCAATTGAATTGTGGATGTGGTTTCGTAGCTAAGAGCGTTGAGTGCCTCTCCAAGCCAGCATGCCCACAGGAGCAGTGTACCATGTTTAAAGAGCATATCCTTGGTACCAGCGTGCCTAGATAAACAGTGTCCCTGGCCGCACGATGCTGTGAAACGTGCTCGCAAGCCCCCTTTGGAATCCACAGCAGTCATCCCTGCTGGCCAGAGGAATGGAAACTGGAGACGGCATTACATCTGCCCGGCTCACCGCGAAACACTGCACAGTCACCGCGCCAGGCCCCAATCTGCCACCCCGTCCTCGACTCCACACACACACAAACACGAGCCGCCTCCAGGTTGGATCAAACAGCCCAGCTTTTAGAAGTTCTCACTTAGTCTGTAAAAGATTAACAAGTTATTGACTGCATGTTGACCCATGCCGGTCTCCTCCTCTCTTTAGTACTGTTATCTGATGGTTGGAGTGAGGGTGGCCTCCGGACTAAGTGAGTGTTGCTCGCTCAAGGCTTGAGTGGGCGGCTTTGATGTGAGATGTGCAACCCTGTGTATGTACTGTATGTATGTGTGTGTGTGTGTGTGTGTGTTCCACAGCTTTCATAAACACCTCCACAATTGCAGCATGACAGGAGAGGAGGCCGTCCAATGGACTCACAAAGGACCACAAACACACATGCACGCACGCTCGTGCTTTTACAACTAATGTGGGCAGCCACAAGGACAAAATGCTGTGATTGATGTGTTTATTTGTTCTTTTTTTTTCTTTGCATAAAGTTCGTGTCTGCGGTATTAGAGCGCACCGATTCCCAACGTCCGCCCTTTAAAGGTTTATCCACATGTTTATAATTTGAGATTTCCTCTTTTTCAAAGGTCTTAGACGAGTGTTGTTAATTTGAAAGGGATACTTTTGTTTCAGTTTTCCGACTTTGCCAAGTTGGAGGTCTCTACTTGCTGCTGAGATCATCGAGTTGATCGGGGAAAATGGCTAAGACACTTTTGAAATAAAGCATGGCTGTGAGGAGGTTTCGCAGATGTTTTGTGTTTAAAGACTTGTTAAGGGGAGAACAACAAAATTATGAATGCGAGTATGAAGAATTACTCTACAATTTTTGGTGTCGAATACCGGTTTGTTTGGGGTGCCTTTTAGCGAGAAACAGCCAAATCTCCTTGAAAGGATAATCTGGGTTACTTTTTGTCTGCGATGTGTTTCGCAGTTCATATAAACGCAGACCGTCCTAACTTGCAGAAGTAAACTGCTTTTGATGATTTAAAATTTTAAAAGCTTTGAAATACAAATCGACAAACACAGTATTTACATGCATTTTAAAATTGGATTTTAGGGTAATTTCAGACCTGTAGATAATTTGCATTATTCCCAATTGCGACTTCAGATGTTACAATGCTGCGTTTTATTCGTTGTTTATATATATATATATATATATATATACAGTTAGAGCAGGAATCAAGACTTTGTTGGGACACTATTCTTGCAGTGCATCCATTTTGTAGCCGAGCAATGACTTTTTAAGCTAAAGAGCATTATTTTACTGGGATGACTAAAACACTCACCCACAGAATTAGACACTAATGCTTTTTGAATACTGCATTTCCTATTATGAATTAAGATACAGCTTGGTTCATTGGTCCGTTGGGTAGCTCAAATACACAAAACCCCCATTTACTCACATAATTTCTCGTTAAAAGTCATAAATTACTCTTTTGCCTTGACGTCGAGGTGTTATAAATAGGATGTGTCAAAAATTGCTTTAACATCTCAGGTTCCTTAACATTTTATGGCTGCTTACCAGCACAGAGAAGCTCTCTTTTTAATTTAGCTTCCCACAGGCTAACCAACTGACGCCCCTTCGCGAGGCCCTGTATTTCAACAAGGCCACAAAAGCCCCAGCGCTCGGTTTCCATTCTCCACTGGCTTTTGGAGAACAGAGTGTACCATCAGCAAACTTGTGTCCCAACAAGCTGGCCAAGCCTCATCTGTCAAAGCCAGGGTGAGCGCGAGAGCGGCGGGGTGAGGGATAGGAAGCTCCCAGATAAACATACCGCAGCGCCTAAACTCCTAATCAGTCTGCGCTTCCGTTTGTAGCCTCTATAATTAGAAGGCACTCTCTTCCATGTATTCCCAGTTGACGCAAATGCTTCTTGTGGCTTGGCACCTCATTTGGGGCGTGGGTTAGTTTATGGCCAGGCCGTAACTTGGTTTAGTCTTCTGATACAGCATAAATAGCTAACCGCTGTCTAATTCACTGGTCGACTCTGTTTTTCTTTTTCGTAGGCGCAATCTCAGCGTGACCCTTCCTTCGCTGCCACAACCCATCCCCATTGCTTCCTGTCTTAATGTTCAATGAGATGGCAAAGCCACACCTAAAGCAGATGCTATTCCTAAGTGTGAAAACGAAAATAACGCGGGCAGAAATAGGACAGATGAGCTCATCTAGGATGGCCGCTGTTCCATTGTCATGTGTGCGGGACTTCGTCTGATCTTCCGACGATATCCTCCTTTTTAGATTTGTCAGACCACCCAATAAATGCTCGCCACAAATTAAACCCCTCTGTGAACTCGACATTAGAGATTCAGCATTGGAAAATCACTAATTATTGCCATCTTAAATTACAGCAGTGAGATCGAGAGCCAGCAGCTAAATCCATCTTAATCGTAGTGTTGGAGAAACTTTCCAAAGCGGTAGTGACCAGACTTTCATGTGTGTGGAAAATAGCCTGTAGAGCTGTCACACTGTTTTTAGGAATAAGTTGTATGCGGCATTGCGTTGCCATGAAGGTTCGCTTCAGGGTTTTTTTTTTCTGGTGTGGTTTAGTAAGTGTGTTGTTTACAGTAAGAGCTTATACTTTCTGTAGTTTCGCTAACTTCAAATAAAAGTGGGAAAATGAGAGGCCCTGTCATCAGAGGTTCCACTTGGGTTCTCCTGCGGTTGTGTTTAAAACAGATCCATATACTCTCTGGCCTGGACAGCTGAGGGAAGATCTTGGCATGCAGTTAATTCTAGAACACAAATTGCACGATTATGATTACCCTTTACAACCATGTAAACGTGTCTCATGAAATGCTCAGTACTTGACGGCAGTCTGGGTGCCATCGTTTTTGACTTGCAGTATGTTCTTCTCAGTTTAAGCCCAGAATTGGTGCACTTAAAGCAAGTAAATGTTCAAATGAGATTTATATATATATTTCGAGTGGCACTTCCTGCCACTTTCATTGATAGATGAACATGGACTATTACTAGGCCACAATTCAGAAAGACTGAATTAATTTTGATCCCATCACCAGTTCCCAAATCCACATGGTAAACCCCAAGAAAATTTAACTAGGGCTGGGAAAATCCTAAAAACTTAAAAAGCATGGAGGAACATTTCTGTAGCCTCAGGAAATAAATGCTGCATTGGTTGCTTTGAATGATCCATATTAATCAAGCATTATATTATTTTCCACTTATATATAAATTATATTTTTTCCATTTCCTGAGGCTGTGCTAATGTTTTATCCCAATTTCTATTGCTATATTTTCTTAAGTATGTGCCTTTCATCATGCTGCTCCAAAACTTTTGATTTGTTTTTATGTTATCATTGCAATAAATTGCAGTTCATCTCAGAAAACTGTGATTAGTTATGTCACTTTTTTTAATCACAGCCCTTAATTCATCACTTCCTGTGTCACAAATACTTTAGTTGTGCTAAGAAGGTGCACTATGGTGAAATAAATGGCACTTTTCTTTTTCTGATCTACAGGTATGTTACTGGTGACTGCAGACACCCTTGGCCATGACTTCCACGTTTTCCAAATCTTGACTCACCCGTGGGAATCTTCCCAGAGTGCGGTTCATCATCTATACACGCTTCACAGAGGAGAGACTGAGGCTAAGGTAAGAACACACATGTACACACATTTACATAAAAGCTTTTCCTTACTTTCAGCACTGTCCTTTAGCACGCACATATGGTACAAACTCATAAACATGTATCCTCCAAATGGAAGATGTATCAACAACAAAAAGAAACTGTCTTGCATTCAAGTAATACATGGACAGTGTGGGATATTAATTCAAACTTCAAAGCTCCTCGTTCCATCCCTTGCTCACACGCACATGCCTATGTACACTCAGGCTATTTTCGGGGGAGTTATTGAGATGAAATATTGCCTTTCCGGACTCTTTTAATCATTAGCATAATCATTTAAAGTCTTTGTGGGCCACCCACAACTGTTTACGGTTGCCTGTGCTTGTATGGCTCTAGAAATGTGCAATTTGAACATGCTTTTCATCGTCGGTGAATCCCTGCATGTTTTCTAAATACTGTCAAGAGACATAAGACTTGGTACCACTGAGCTCCAGAACACGGTTCTGTTGTCTCTGGCTTTTTTGTAGTATGTAGGGCAGTGTATGTTAGACAAAAAGTGTTGGTATGACCCATCTGATTGTTCTTAAACATGACTATGAGATACATAGTCCCTTGCTACTGCAGTATACATGAAAAATATGAGTGTAACTGTAATCTGAAGATCTAGTTACTGTTCAACTGTCCACCAACTAAAGGTTAAGAGCATCAGGGCTTTTCCATAGTCACAGCACATTAATTTTTTTTGTACCTGGAGAACTTTTGCCCCCAGTTCAAAACAAATTTACGTGGATCCACGTGAAATATTTGTGCTCTCAGCAGTTAGTCTTTGCTTATTCTAAAACTTCCTCCCCTGTGGCTCCCATGTTCAGTTTTCAACCCTCTGGAATCCGAAGACCTGAAACTATTAGTGTTGCCAATGTGTTTTCAATCACCAAGGCTGCAAAAAAAGAGAAAAGTTGCTAAAAATACCTCAGACGGCTGGTGAGAGCTTAGATTGTGCTCCTGACCGGAGCTTTTACTCTTGCTTGGGGTCAAGCTTGGGGCTTGTAACACCTATGATATCTTAGGCTATGAGGTCATGGACGAGAGGACATTCCCACTGGGACAATATGGTCGCACTTGTGACTTTACACCACTCTCTCTTAAATCCCGGGAAATAGGCCCTTGGCAGAACTGAATATAGACTCCGTAATTTTCCCATTTCATCCCAGCTTTATAAATTACGAATGTAGAACAACTAATGGTGTTATTTGAAACAGAATTGGGCTTTGTAATTTGTCCATCCATTTAGCCAGATGTTTGTTGCATTTTTGCCCCACTTAAGCGCAGTAAAATATAGTTTACAATTTACAACTAGAACATAATTACTTCTTTACTGCTGTGAAAACTAGAATCGTTAGTATCACCTGGCAGGTTTGATTGCTTGGAGAAGTAACAGCACATCTCTATTCAAGTCACTTGAATACATTTTGAATAAAATTTTATTTTATTTTATACTTTATTTTATTTTATTTTATTCTTTAAAGTGATTTTATCTGTATATCATTTTAATTTAATTTAATAAAAAAAAAATTCACTTTAATATTCTATTTTTAATTATTTTTTTTATTTACTGTTTTAATAGTCTTTTAAATATATTTTTTAACATAATAGTATTATTTTTTTTGTATATTAAAATGCCATTTTATTTTAATTTTTACTTTGTAACAGTTATTCTTTATGTTTTATTTTTTTTAAAGTTAGTTATTACTTGGCTACTAGTTAGGTTAAGGCAATGTACAGTGGCCTCAAAATATATTTGATCAAACATATTGATCATTCTTCAATCCATTTATTTATTTTTGTTTATGTATGTTAATATTTTAAACCAAAACAAGATGGTCAAATCCACATGCTTTTTTGTATTTATGTAACGTTACTCAGGTTGAATAGTTGAAGCGGACATCTAAGGACATGATCTGATCATTAGCGTCTGCCAAGCCTTGGTAATCTATCTGGGTGCTTTAAAGTTTAATTTACTTTTGTGATCTATTGGGTTATTGCACAAATCAGTTTGGGAAATAACTGCAGTGATTTAGTTTTCCTCTCTTCTAAATGCTGTTTCATCCATTTAGTCTTGCAGCTGTTCCACAACAATATCTCCTTCAGTTGGCAAATCGTAAGGTTTTATTTGCTTAAGTAGAACTAATATTTATTCCGAAAGGGCCTAGACCCTTACTTACTCAGCCAGTGTCATGTTTGGATATGCACACAAACCTGATCTCTGCTCTAGTTCATAGACTCACACTCTCGCAGTCTTCCTGACACGTTCGATGTCTAAAAGCATGCCAGACATATTTCTCCCAATTTAAATCCTTCATTACATGACAAATATTAACACTGCAGTGGAAGAAAAACTGTACCTTATTCGCATATGAGTGCCATGTAACTGAAGCACAGTCAAGTGTTATGTCTATAAGAAAGACTTGTCGTTTTTAACTCCTATTGCACTTATTTATTAAGCCCATTAGTGTATGTTTTCTTCTTCTTCCTTTTTTATGTTTTCCCAATTCTCTTTGTCCCTTTACCCTTCAAGTGCACTCTGAGCCAGGTGAAAAAGGCCAAATTGCAGGCTGGTTACTGGTCCGTGGGTGAAGTTTAAGTTCTTCTCGTTCCTGCTCCTTATATTGAAGGTGTGATTACTTTACCCGGCACCTCCAGGCATGGCAAAGAGCTGGAACCGAGTGTGTAAAACATTCTCATTTTCCCTCCTCTGTGAGCACAGGGCCGAGGTGGCCTGCAGCTCCGCTGTGATGAGAAAGGTGGTTAATCTGTCACCGACTCATGCCAGGTTTGCTGCCTGGCCATGCGTTGGCTTTGATCTGGCATTGTAAACAGCACAAACTGCAGAAAGCAAGCACCCTCCAAGACGCATTATCTTGAGCAGAACAAATAAAAGGAGTGATAATGCCTTGTGGGCGGGTGCAGGCACCCGGCCTTATCTGACTGGCTGATTGACTGTGCTTGTACTGACTCCCAGCCTGCTCCGGACTGACCTTAGTGTGCGTGAAGGTAAATAACCCACCAGGCTGCGTTGCCTAAAGCCATACACTGTTTTAGCTGTTCTGAGCAGCACATGACTGACCAAACAGCTCATTTGATTTATGTCTGATTAACTAATTTATAGATCTCAGTCCTTGTCTTTGGTCACCTAAATCTTATTTTTACACCTCCAGGTGAAAATCTCTGGAGTGGCGTCGTCCCCGAACAGGAAATGATCATTGATCTTAATTCATTTGCTCATCTCTGAGTTGGCGTATTCAGCGTGAGACTGATCTGAGACAGATAGAGCAGAATGACCTAGAATCAGACAGATCTCCAGACAGCTGCATTCCAGTAGCTGATGGCTATCCATAAAAAGAGCCGTAAAAAAGTAATTAGCTGAACCTTGCTGACGGCAGAGTGTTGTATGGTAAAGCCAAGTGTATGGTCTCTGGACCATGTCTTGGAGAAGGTCTACCATTAGTTTCATAGAGCTTCATTCACATAGGGCACGTTCTTGTATTCAAAAACAGAATAGTATTTCAAGACGCTGTCATGTAAAACTATGCTCATGATGCAAGATGCTGAAAAAACAGGGTGTGCTTCTACGGCCATCTGATGCATGTATACACAGACCAACAATTTAAAAATAGCCTAGACTGAACATAAGAGTGGTAAACACAAGAAGCACGGGACACACTGTTGCAGTTACATGGTTCATCTATTTTAAGATTTTTAAATACATAAGCCAGGTTAGATATTCAGGTTTTTCATGCCATTACCCAAGATCTGGTGATCAGTTCCGAAACCTCTTCCCAGCGCCTAGGCGTGATTATAAAGACCTCTTTCTCATTCCTCTCAAGTGTTTCATAACACATTTTTTAGAGATTTTATCTGTTTATCTTTGCCAGAAACTTTCTTATGACTAGCACCAGAGAAAATGCATACAGAAGTCAGGTTGCATTCCTTAAAGTTGCCATGAAATTAAAACTAAATGCATGTTATTGATATTATTGTGAATGATTCATCCATGCATACATTTCATTTTTTTAATATACACACTGCCATTCAAAAGTTTGGGATCAGTAAGATTTTTTATATTTTTTAATGGAGTCTCTTTTGCTCATCAAGGCTGTATTTATTTGATCAAAAATACAGAAAAAACAGTAATATTATGAAATAATATTGCAATTTCTAATATTGGTTTTCTATTTTAATATACTTTTAAATATAATTTATTTCTGTGAAGCAAAGCTGAATTTTCATCAGCCATTACTCCAGTCTTCAGTGTCACATGATCCTTCAGAAATCCTTCTAATATGCTGATTTATTATCAGTGTTGAAACTGTTGTGCTGCTTAATATTTTTTTGGAACCTGTGATACTTTTTTGATTCTTTGATGAATAAATAGTATAAATAGTTAAAAAGAACAGCATTTATTCAAAATTGAAATCTATTATATCTATTCTATGATATCACTTTTTATCCATTTAACACATTAACACATTGCTGAATAAAAGTATTAATTTCTTAAAAAAAAGTTACTGACCCCAAATTTTTGAATAGTAAAGTATATTGTAACAAATTACTATTTTGAATAAACACTGATCTTTTTAACTATATATATATATATATATATATATATGTGTGTGTGTGTGTGTGTGTGTGTATATGTATATGTTTTTATCCTAGTAATTTTAATTCAAATATTACTCTGTTGATGTGTGGCAGACTTCTCCAATAATTTAGTCCTCCTCTTCCACTGAAAGCTTGCTTTCAGATCTGCTTTCATCCAATCAACAACCAATGGATAGAACCAAGTCCACACTACATTTTTTTTTACATTCATGTTTATTTGTATAGTGCTTTTCATGATACAAATCATTGCAAACAAAGCAGCTTTACAGAAAATGAAAGTTTCTACATTACATTTAGGAGTAGTTTATCAGTGGTGACTATGTCAAGGTGATGTCCATTTGGCAGAAATGCACAGTAAAAATCATGCAATTAGTTAATGACATGAATTCAAAGAAATGGTGAACACTATTAACAGCAATGATTATATGTTGTGATCAAACTTACAGAACAATTTGGTAGTTTTGTATCTTGGTTCAGGGTTGTCATCATCTGAGGTCCTTGGAGGGGTTGGCATCATCTCTTCTCAGGCCCAACCAAGCAAAGAATGATAATGTCCCAATACAAAAGAAGATCCACTACCTCTGTTACATTCTGACTTTAAGCCACATTTTGAAGGAAAGGCATTACTGTATTGTTCATGCTGTTTACTCAAGACCCTACACTCCTGTAATGGTGATTTCATACATTTTAATGGTGATTGTTCATTTTCAAATCCGAACCAACGCAAAGCTGAAAGCTTCTTTCCTTTGTCTTCTCTTACCCTTGCTCTAGGTGCAGGACATCTGCTTCAGCCATGACTGCCGCTGGGTGGTGATCAGTACTCTTCGTGGTACCTCTCATGTCTTTCCCATCAATCCATATGGTGGAGCGCCATGTGCACGCACGCACATGTCTCCACGTGTGGTCAATCGCATGAGCCGTTTCCAGAAGAGTGCCGGACTGGAGGAGATCGAGCAAGAGCTGAGCAGCAAACAGGGCGGCCGGTGTAGCCCCATTCCTGGCCTCTCTAGTAGCCCATCTGGATCACCACTACATGGTTAGCAAACGCTTTTTTTTTTGGGAAACATTATGCACCTCTTACACTTCTGCAATCGTTCATAAGTTAGTAACACTAGTCGTTCGGGTGAAAACCTACTGAGATGGAAAATTGTAAATTTTTAATTAATTACTCTGGACTATTTTTTATATATTTTTAGTAACATATTGAATTAAATAGAAATTCTAATATGTAATATTTACATTTTTCATGCATTTATGTTTCTTGAATTCATTTTCACTAAGCTAATAGCCATCTTACTAGAATTTGAATTGGAGCATGTAGATCCTGGCCATTCAGGGGTTAACTGAGTCACCCTACCAGACCTTGTGATTGAGCCTGTTGACCTCTGTTACAACACTGTGATGTTTGTCAAACACTGTCCCTGGCTGCAAACACACTTACACAGACCACATCTCAACGTTACGTACATACACACCCACTCACCCACCCACACACACACACACACACACACACACACACACACACACTTCTCATCTCTGTGCTGATTGCCACAGGAGCTGGTACGCCTGTCAGTGTTGTTTGCCCATCAGCACGCCCTACTCCATAAAGCAGAGGTCTGATTAATCAATACCCCCGTGCTCACCGAAAGCACCCCGCTGATACGGACACAGGAGACTCCAGTCAGCCGCGGGGTGTTTGCAGAGCTTCCCAAAGCACTCAAGAGAGCCTCACTTTCTCTGTCACCCAAAGTCATATATCAAATGACACTACACTGACGCTTCAAAAAATAGTTGACTAAATTAAGTAAAGTAAATGTAAATCAGTAAATGTAAACAATATTTATTTATTTATAAAATTTAGAAGCCTCAGAATAATGTATCAAAATAATCTGTTTGGCTAATGCATTGCGTCTTGCTGATTTTCAGCATCACCACATTTTTAAAGTTAAAATTGAAATCTTATGGACTATATAAATATAATTTACTATTATTTATTTATTTATTATTAATTTAATGTAATATTTTTAGAAGCTGCTTTTATCCAGATCTGAATACAGATCTAAGCATTAAAATAATCTATTTGACTGCTGCATTGCATTTTGCTTATTTAACAGCGTATAAGTGCCACATTTTTTAAGTAAAAATGTAAACTTTTAAACCTACAGTGGTGGCCAAAATGATTAGAACACTAGTATTTTCACCAGCTGAAAAATGGTTTTAAGTCAGTTATTTCTGTCTTTTGCTGTAGGGAGGTCTCTTGAAGCATCTTGGAGACATTGCCACAGTTCTTCTGGATTTAGTCTGTCTCAGTTTGTTCTGTTTCTTCAAGTCATTCCAGACAGACTGGATGATGATGAGATCAGATCTCTGTGTGGAGCACTGACTGTTGTCAGACTCCTTGTGCAAACAAAAATCTCACTGGATTATTACAATTAATGGCAAAATGAAAAATGTAAACTGATATTTCCTACTGGCACACTACAGCAAAAGATAGAAATAACTGACTTAAAAGCATTTTTTTTTTCTAATAAAAAAATAAATAAAAAGAATTTTTTGCTCTAATAATTTTGGCCATCACTGTATATATACAAAAATATATATTTTTTGATATATATAATTTATTATATTCTCCTTCTTCTTACTCCTCCTCTTCTTTAATATAATCATATAATTAATTTGAGTGACTTTTGACTGTCTTAAAGACAATATAAATAACTTTTTTTCACTTTGAGTTGAGCAAAGCTGTGACATCACAGGGCCGGAATGTTTGGCGTCCCGTGTAGGGATGGTTACCAGCAGCCACGAAAGTGGGCCTCAGAAGCCCTGTCGTAAATCAGACTCACTTTTCAAAGCCAGGCATTAGAAGCACCTGTCAACAATTAGTCCTATCAGCTTCAGCCCGATGAGACACTTTGACAACAGGGTTCTGAGGTGACATTTTTTTGTACTGGGAACAGGATGGGGGAATCTAAGAAACAGAAGTCTGAGGCAGTTCGTATGCCTTGGAGGCAAACCTTGGACTGTCCGGATTTTATAACCTCAAGGATCATTCCATAATTCCTTAAGCCAAAAGATGGGAGGATAGCAGGATGTGGCTTTTGAATTAAGATGAAACGGTGTGGGGGAGAAAGGGAGACAAAGTGGTCTGCACTTTTGCGTGGTCCCCGAGGGCCTCTCCTATGGGCTCATACTTGCAGCTGGAATGCTTGAGCCACTTGCATATCCTGCCGGAGATGTTTGCTTTATTTTCAAACCAGTCATTCAGTTTTTCTTTCTTGTTCTCTTAATATATTTTTAAACATATTTCAGTGCACTACAATCACACTTTTAACATTCACCTTTCCTAACTTATGATAATAAAACATTTGTTTTACTAATGACACATTTCTTTAATAAACTGAATTGCAGTAAAATTATTTCTTAATTATTTTAATCAATTTAAATTACAATTAGCTGTATTTATTTGATCGAAAATACAGTGAAACAGTCATACTGTGGAATAGTATTACATTTTAAAACAACTGTTTCTGTTTTGACATATTTTAAAATTTAATTTATTCCTGTGATGGTAAAGCTGAATTTTCATCAGTCACATGAACCTTCATAAATCATTCTAACATGCTGATTTGGTGCTCAAGAAACATTTATTATTATTATCAATGTTGAAAACAATTGTGCTGATTAATATTTTTGTGTAAAGCATTATGCAGTATATTTTTTTCTTCAAAAGAACAGCATTTATTTGGAATGGTAATTTTTTTTTTATGTAAGTGTTTACTGTTAGTTTTAATTAATTTCGATGAATCTTTGCTGAATAAAAGTATAAAAAAGTAAATAAAAAAAAATCTTACCAGCCCGAAACTGTTGCACTTGTTGATTTGCTAAACAATGTAAAGACAATAGGATTTCTACAAATACATAACATTTTCTGCATTTTCCTTCTCAAGGAAACTACATTTTACGTCAGCGTAAAATCAGCAAAATTGTTTTTGTGGTTGTCACACTTTTAAATCCTTTTCCGCTAAGATTAGTTATCAGACACAAAAAGAGAAAAGGCTATCAGCGTCACTTTCCGTTTGCTTTTCCGTCGGTTTTGTTCATTTTTGGGTCCATGAGCGTGAACGGAGGCGGCAGAAATAAATGATTGATAAGAAAAGCTGCAGAGCAGTAGCCACAACAGTAGACTGGCAATTGTCTCCTGTGACAACTCTCTGATTTAGGGAAGGAACTAGAGAAGTACACATCCTTCAGAGCTGGCACTCTGTAAAAATAGAAACCACAATCGGGCTTTCTTCTCTCCAAGTTTAATTGTGGATTTTTTTCTATCTATTTTAGGAGACACATCCCCTCGCATTAGGTTCATGGCATTGTTAGATAATTCAACAAGTCCTTCTTTGTTCAGTGCTAACAGAGACAGTTAATTCATTCGTTTATGTGCTGATTTCTGCTAAGTTGTTTTGTCCGTCTGCCTTTTCTACCTATAACTGAACAAAAGCCAAAGGAAAATGCTTTTTGACGCATAACTGTTGTTGTATGGTTTCCATTCGCAGGAGTGTTTAGGGTACATGTGGCTTTGGTAGCCATGCTGTGCAGCGGTTAAGCTCTGTGTCGGTCATGCGCGAGGATGTGAGGAGTGCGATGGAAAGAGCCGTCTGGACTGAGGCGGTCACATTAGCTTTGAGCTTACAGGAAATTCAGAGTCGGTTTGGCAAAACTTGGTGGTCTTCTTCTTTGCGTATGTTCATTGACTGTTTTGAAAGGAAAAACAAGGTGCAACAGGAAGCTGTTAATTCGCTGTTATTGAGTTAGGGATAACGGGATACTTCCTTTGAGCCATTTAATGTCCGCATACAGCTTGTTTGGGTTTCAGGCTTGTTTTATCAGTAACTACGCCTGTTTACACCATTCATCATCTTAAAGCAAAAACAGCCAGGCATGGATGCTTTTGCAGAACTGATGACACAATGTTGTTTGGAGCAAACTGTTTTAAAAAGCTCAACGCTGTGGTTATTAATTTGACACAGATCAAATCTAAATGGCATTCATTCAACTCTTTAAATAAATTTGGTTCACTTTTTCACGTGTTATATATATTTTCCAAAATTTGATTGTTTGTTTTTTTTCTTCAGCGAGGATGCATCATTGCAAATAAATGCTGTTCTTTTGAACTTTATATTCAGTGAGGAATCATGGGGAAAAAAAGTATCACTGTTTCCACAAAAATATTAAGCAAATTGGGGACATTAAAATGATTTCTGAAAGATCGTGTGACACTGAAAACTTAAGTAATGATGCTGAAAATTCAGCTTTTCCATGACAAGAATAAATTACATTTTAAAATATATTAACATAGAAAACTGTCACTTTAAATTGCAATAATATTTCCACAATTTTACTATACTGAATAAATACAGTATGAATCTTTCAAATAAATGCACCCTTGGTGAACATAAGAGAAAATTTGTAATTTGTAATTTGCTCTGAAAATAATTTATTAAATTATTTAACTTTTTAACTCAGATATTATAATATAGATTAAAGATTAAAATTTTTTTCCTGGTTAGTGCTCTCAGACTTTTGGAGCCCACTGTATTTGTGTATAACATAAAATCCAGATATTGGCATTTGAAATATGGGACTAAATATTCTTTCATCTTCTATTTATTGTTTGCTGTTGGGCTGTAGTGCCTTTAGAGCAGATTATAATTTTTGTTTTCGTGTCGAGTGTGCCGGTAAAGCGTGTGTCACAGTCACTGAGTCCTGTGCTGAATCATTTACAACCATCAGATCTCTGTTTACTCTCCCTCTCTCTCTCTCTCTCTCTGTGTGTGTGTCTCTGTGTGTCTGTCGGACATGCAGCCAGATGAGCTGATCTGATCTGTACGGGCAGGGCCAGCAAACACTCTCTAATCACAAACTGCCTCCTCCCTTGTTTGTGGCACACACACACTCTTAAATTCCACCAGAGCTTCACAGCGGCTCTCCGGCTCTCAAAGATAAAGCTCAACTCCTCCGCTCACAAAACAACAGATGTGC